CTTCTTCTTCTTCTTCTTCTTCTTCTTCTTCTTCTTCTTCTTCTTCTCCTTCTCCTTCTCCTTCTCCTTCTCCTTCTCCTTCTCCTTCTCCTCCTCCTCCTCCTCCTCCTCCTCCTCCTCCTTCTTCTTCTTCTTCACCTATAGACAGAATCTTGCCAGACTCAGAACAGAACATAACAAATAACAGAGTTGTTGGAAGGGACCTTGGAGGTCTTCTAGTCCAGCCTCCTGCTTAAGCAGGAGATGCTATACCAGTTATTTGTTATATATAGTTATTTGTTATTCAGTTAGTATTACTATGTACTGTTTATCTTAGTTATATAGTTACTTTAGTTAGTGGAATTTACAATTCCAGGTGGGGAGTGTGCTGTCCAGACAGTTTATAGTTAATGGGATTTGGGATAGTGAGTTAGGAATTGAGAGCTGTCCTTAAGGGAATGCATCATGGTAAATGTAGTTAAGGTATCTTGGGAAATGTAGTTCATGTCATGTGGCCACATCTGTAACACTGATTGGTCACTGAATTGACCCTGGGTGGGTTGGGGGAGGTTTCTTTACTCTTGCCTGAACATACAGCCTCAAGGTAGCATATCTACCCCCCTGTTTCTACTATAATGGGATGAAATATGGGATCGAAAGATTACTCTCATTTACACTGCGATTTCAACTGTGCAAAGAATTGGACATTAGATGCACCTCGACATAATTGTGAGTTACCTTGAGGATACCTAAGATAATCCAATAAGAGAAACTTTTGTATGGAAGAATTTGTAGAGTTATTCTCTCTGTCTTTCTATTCAGCCAGTGAACCAAAAGACAAAATATAAATTCTGGGAAAAGCAAGGGAGGAACTATCTTAACCCTCCTCTTGCCGTCCAAACTTTTCAAGCTCCCGCTGCCTCTTTCTCCCTGGGAAAGCAGCTTTCTGCTTTCCCACAACTCATTCCATCTCACTGACCTTAGAGATATGTTGGATGTTGCACAGGGGATACGAAGCACTCTGAACACCAAGCAGACCCAGCTGCTGTTTTGAATAGTTGGCCCTGGCGTTTACGACTTCTTCTTTACCGTTGCCTTGACAGTCTCTCTCCAACGACCCAACCCAAAGTATCTCTTTGTCTTCTGAATGCAGATCGAGCAATTGAGCAGCCGGCAGCTGATGGAGGAAGCCCGGAAGAATGAAACCAGCGCTGTGGGCCACCCAGTCGGAGAGGAGGTGCATTATGATCCGATGTACAGGAACTTCCAGGATTCTTGTGGGCCTCACCAAAGGCCCATTTTCAGAGAAAACCAGCAAATTACCGTTTGAGACTTCGGAGCATACGAGTTCATACATTTTTCAAGCTTTTTTTTTTTTATATACCATTTTTCCTCCCCATTCCATCTTATTGCTTAGATCTTCCCCAATTTCAGTTGAGATGTGTTTTTTTAAAAAAAAAGTTTTTGTATGTAAATATATAAAGGGTTTAAATAATTCAATTCAGTCTTTATTGCGGTCACAGACCAGCGCAAAAAAATAAATAAACGTGAAAATAAAGCAGAACTGAACAGAACAAGGCACAGTAATGTGTTACAATTGGTGGTGGAATTGTCAGTGGGTGACCAAGGCCTGCCTAGGTTTACAGACTCCTCCTCCTCCTCCTCCTCCTCCTCCTCTCTGCAAACCCTACTCAGTTCTAACACTGATGGCGGTCCCTAGTTGGGTCATGAAGCATCTGCAAGAAAATCACCAACTTCAGAGACCACCAAGGACCCCCATAATCCTCCCCTTCCTCTCTCTCCTCCTCCCTCCTCCTCCTCTCTGCAAATCTCAATCCTGTCTAGCACTGATGATGGTCCCTAATTGGGTCATGAGACATCTGCAAGAAAATAACAACT